CGTTTTGCAAAAACTACTGAGAACCCAAACGAACTCGATTCTCACCCATAATACCTTCCTGAAAAGCTTGATTCATCTACTTTAATTTCTCTGAAGAACACTTTTGCAATTGAGGAATCTAGCTCCCTGAAATGTAGCCTGGTCCAGAATAACGAAAAGTCTGGAAAATCTGGAATTTCCTAATCTTTTCTCAATTATTTCCTAAAGTCTATCCAAATTGCCAAACTTACAAAATAAGCTCTAATCAGCTCAACTAGGCTAAACTAACAAAAAAATATATGGAAGGAATAAAATATATAATTACACTCTTATCAATAACATTAATTAATATTTTTGTGCATATATCTTACCTTGTTTTTTTACAGCTTCTAAAGGAAACATTTGAGAATCATCCTGAAATTTTAAGGACAAAAATTGAACTCAATAGAGTTCAGGAGCAGCTGGAACATTATCAGAATTCTTACTTATTTTTTTACCAGCCTGTGAAGGAAAAATTTGAGAATCATCCTAAATTTTAAGGACAAAATTTAACTCAATAGTTTCAGGAGCAGCTAGACATTATCAGAATTTTCTGTTATTTGGGTGAAAAGGAAGTTTGTTGGAAGAGATTCCATATTTAAGAGCCAGTTACAATATTATATAGACCTTTTTCATTATCTAATCTGTTGGAAATAACACAGAATAACACATATCCTAAAGTAATCCCAAGATCATAGTCCCCATTGCAATCACATTTGTATATAACAACTACAATGAATTTACACACAAAATAACCTTCTTCCTTATTTCTGAGCAATAAATTAAATTTGGAAGAACACCACGAAGAGTATTTTTCTTTCCAATTTTAGAGAGAGAGCAGCATATTTTTTTCCTTTGTGATTTTGAGTAACAGTGAGTAACCCTTACTAAAAGGAAAAACTTCTTTTTATATGGAGCGGTTCGTGAGAACTCCCTTTGGCAGTTTCCATTTCTCACGCCCCTTCATCGGGTGTACTTATCCAATATCTCCCACTCACACATGATGGGACTATCTCTCTCTGTGCTTCTTTAAGGTTCATGACTTTATAAATATGTTGTGTGACCATGCATACTTCGAGAGCATGTAGTCATTATATGTTAGGATATAATAACTTCTCGCTTGTGAAACTCGATTGTATGTTTGTATGCAATACCTAGATTAATTCTGACATTTTTTCAACAATCTCATTTATAATAAATATCTTTATATTCATAATTATTTTTGGTCTTTACATACAAGTAAAACATAATTGGTCGACCAATGAATACACATGACTTATAGTGTGGATAATTCAAAACTTAATCTTCCCGCTTTCCTCTCGTCGATTCTTGTAACTTTCATCTACTTGCTTTTCTAGAATGTCCCATCAAATTGACATTTACTTAATCCTTTGGTAACCCTCTAAATAGCAATCATTTAAATGATGTTTTCAAGAAACACATATAGTAATAAAGGTATTGTATGAGATTTATCTTAAAAAATCTGGTCTCACACAATGTTAAAGTTGAGATTTTGACTTTCATTACCCCTTTGGTCAATGTTTTGCAACATGTGGTATGAATCACATGCTACAACATTTCCTCCTTTCCCGGATTGCATTTTCTTTTCTTGTAAATGCTGTACAGATTTCAGTTCAGACATACCTAATGTCTACCTTGAGTCACTTTTACCATACTTTTAATTCATACAAACCTAATCTGGCAATTAGACAGAAAAGTGATCATTTATCACTTATGGTCACATTTCATTATGACATTATTTTAATTCTATTTTTTTTAGGCGACGTTAAACATTTTAAGCTTGACTCTCTATTATCACCTAGATAATAGCTTAAATCTCTCATCTCCATCCTAACGAAGTAATGGAGGTGATTGCCTTGTGTGAGAAGGCCAATCTTTTAACTGTCCCGACATGCTTTTCAAAATGGACATATATAATATTTACATAACTATATGTTATTATGCTCCTTCATGTATGTTCCATAATAATTGAAATTGAGCATTGAGCATATTGTTATTTAATATTGATAACAAATGTGAACAATTTTTGGAAATCTCAAGTATGGACATTTAACACCTACGTAAGCCTAGAGATCTAACATGTCTATTGAAAATATCTCTTTGGTATAGGGTTTGTAAATGGATCCGCACCATTCATGCGTAGATATGTACTTCATGTTCACCTCCTTTTGTGCCACAATCTTGCACAATTATATTTGATATCTATGGTTTCATTTTACCATGATATTTTGGATCCTTAGTGTATGCTATTGCTGCTTGACTATCACAGTTTATTCTTACGGTTCAATAGCAACATAATTATTCCCAGATGATTCACGACCGTCTTAACCAAACAGCTTCTTCACTGCAGCTGAAAATGCTACAAACTCAGCCTCCATTGTAGATAAGGCCATGCTATTGTTTCTATCGCTCCAAGATATGCCCCACCATTTAGTAAGAAACATATCCGAAGTAATCTTTCAATCTAAATCTCCTCCCCAATCAGCATCGGTGTAGCCTCTCAAGTGTAAATCATTCCTTGATACTAATGATAATCAACTCTTCCTTTTAGATATCTTAAGATTCTCTCACTGCTTTCCAAGTGCTTGTCCTGGGTCAACTGATATCTACCTGTCAACCCAACGTCATAACATATGTCGGCTCTAGTGCATCATGGCGTACATGAACTTCCAACACACTTGTATAAGGAACATTCTCTTCATTTGTTTCCTTTTCTTGTGAAGTCATCGACACATTTTAACGACTTAAAGTCTCACATTTCGCGTAGGGTTGTTTATTGGGTTTACATCTTGCATATGAAATCGTTCACAGAATTTCCTTAATTTATGGTTCTTGTGAAAGAGATACTAATTTTTTTTGAGCGATCTCTTGAATCTTGACTCCAAAAATATATGCAGCTTCACCCATATCTTTCATCTGAAAATGAGATGATAACCATCCTCTTGATTTCATTGACAAATCCCCTTATCATTTCTAGCTATAAGTATATCCATCAACATAAATGATAATTAACAAATTTTAATTGTATCTCTTTGTATACATAGTGATCTTCATCTATCATTTTGAAATCATATGACATTATCGCATTATGAAATCGAATATACCACTGTCTCGAGGACTTTTAGGCCATAAATTGACTTTAAAAGTCACACACTTTGTGTTCTTGACCTTCTCTAATAAAACCTATTGTTGGTCCATATAATTTCTTCTTGTACTTCTCCATTGAGAAAAGCAGCCTTTACATCCATTTGATGCAATTCGATCCATGCTAGCACTATAGCGTAGAATAAGTAGAGATTTAAGGTAAACCGCACAACAGGTGAAAAAGTTTCTTCATAATCTATTCCTTTTTTGTTATTTATACCCCTTCGCCACTAGTAGCTTTGTATCTTTCAATACTGCCATCAGCTTTACGCTTGGATTTTGAGAACCATTTGTTCCCAATGGCTTTGCGTCCTTTTGGTAAATCACCAATTCCCATACTTGGTTTAATTTCATAGACTCCAATTCTTCTTCCACTGCTTTCATCCATTTTTCCTTCCATAAAGGCCAATTGATAGCCTCATTTACATCCTTTGGCTCTTCGTCATCTTGTGGAGTACTAGAAAAATTTCCCCCTAATCTCAAATCGTCGACGTGGAACTTGTTTCCTGTTTGATTGACGTATTAGAGATTGATTGGTGTTACTCCCACTTGGACCAGCTATCATAGTTGGATCGCCAATAGGGATGATGGAGGGACTGAAACTGTTCATCAACTTCCATATTGCTCCCACTGGATGTGGTATACCAACTATTTGTGGTATTAGAATTGCCCTTGGTCTTGTTTCATAGTGATGAAACAAGTCTTTACCTATCTCGCCCTTCTTAGGAAAATTGGTTTCTAAGAATGTGACATCTCGTGATTCAAACTCATGATGCTACCACTTTCTTGTTCTCCTATGAAGACGTATCCCTTTGAATGTTCTGAGTATCTTATGAAGATACATTTCTTCCCCTTGGACCTAATTTTCATATTTATGGGAGGATAATGACACATAGACAGCACATCCCATGGCTTTAGGAGACTCAAATCGGGTTTCCAATTTGTCTATAATTCATTGTGTAGTAGTAATAGATTTGGATGTTACTCGATTGAGGATATATGTGGCATCAATAGGCATCACCCCAAAAGGTGATGTGCAGTTTGCTTGTGCCATCAAGACCTCACCATCTCAGTAGGTTTATGTTTTCTTCGTTCTGCACACCGTTTTGTTACGAAGTTCTGGAATAGTTAATTGATGTTCGTATTCCCCATTTCATCACAAAAATTTCTGAACTGATCAGTAAATATCCATGTCCTCGATCGGTTCGTACAACTTTTATCCTTTTATCTAATGGATTCTTACTAAGTTTTTAACTTCTGAAAGCCTTCTAAAGTCTTTTTTGAAAATAATAACCATACCATAAATCGAGTGAATCATCTATAATGTGATGAAATAAACAGCCCCATGTCTAGCCCTCACATTCATTGGACCACATATGTCCAGAATGATAGTTCAATGGAACTTCAGCTCTTATCACTTTCCAAATGGTTTTCTTGCTGTTTTTTCCAGCTAGGCAATGTTCACACTAGTCAAGTCTACTTTGTTAAGGATCCTAACAATCCTTCTCTTACTAGTATATTCATTTTTTGTTGGCCATATGGCCAGCCGTGCATGTCCATATATTTCACATCATCATTATTAAAGATTGCAACTAAAGGAAAAACAAACATTACTATAATTATAAGCAACGTCAAGTACTATAAAACCATCCGAAATATAACCACAACCATAGTAGTTGTGTCCAAAATATGGACCACCGTACTGAAAGTTAAATTAAAACCAAGTTAACAAGTTCTAACATAAAAATCAAATTTCGACGAATACGGGTGCTATAACACGTCATGTAGGTATCAGGATTCGACCTCCCAACGCATGATCATTTGCATGTGCCGATCCCTTTAACTTCCACTTTTAAATTGTTACCTACATATATCCATTTGTTTCCTGTGGCATTCGTTGAAATTCCACGACAAACACTCCTGTCTTTTCGCTTGTGGTCGTGTTGCTGGCTTGAATCTACAGTCCACAGAGGATGAGATTCAATTAGAAAAACAGAACTGGAAACATTTATATAACTTACTTGTGCAAACAAGTAATTTACCTTCTTCAGCTCGCTACAATCGCAAGCAAAATGTCCCTTGTTACCACAGTTATAACATTTCACCTTCGCCATATTTCTCTTCTTGGTAGGATGCTTTCCTTTTTCGTGTTTAAAAAACTTTCTCTTCTTCCCTAGAGCCTTATCAGTATTTCTTTTTCTTTGGGTTCCACCTTGGAATTTACTTTTAAATCCCTTCCCACCATGTGAACTGGAACCAGCCATATACACATCAGTATTTGCCTTACTCGCATTAAGGCGATCTTCTTCAAGTTCCAAATGGCATATGACATCTTCTAAATTTATGATGCCCTCATTGTGGGTAAGGTGTATTTTCATATGTTCCCAATTTTGAGGCAATGATCTTATAACAGCTTGAACCTGTTGTTCATCAGTTAGGACATGACCTGCATCTATCAACTCACTTATCATGTTTGACAAATGCCGTAAATGTACTCTCATATTATGTTCAGGCTTCTTTTTATATGTGTCAAACTTGATAGTGAGTGACCGGAGTTTGGTAATGGACATACCACCAAACTTTGTAGCAAAGGTAGACCACATGTCCTTTGCTAACTTGTAATCCCAGTACTTTTTCATGAGATCATTGTCCATGCTGCTCAACAAAGTAATGCGAGCAGTGGAATTCTTCTTCTTCCATATGTCATAAGCTGCACGGTCTCGTCTATGTTGAGCCGTGACTCCTTCTTCAGGCTCTTCTATGGTTGTAGTAAGAGCTTCAAGAACCTCTTGTTCTTCCAAAACATATTGGATTTTCATGCTCCATATCTCATAATTGTCGCCGTTAAAATTTCTCCTTTATTAACTTCGGTGACAATGTTCTTAGATGCAGATGCCATTTCTAAAAAAAATTATACATTGGATAATGCATGTTATTCAATGCTCAGAACATACATATATATTTAATTAATTATATCAATAATAATTGTATATTAGATTTGGAATCAAAAGTTAACAATGTCAACAATCATCATCCAAAATTCCAATTTCTAATTATCATAGATATAATTAATTGCAATTCTAAAATTATATTTAGACACAATCATATAAATATAATTCAACATAAATTCACATAAAATTTTAAAAAAANATCAAAGTTAAAACAACAATACAATTTTAAATTAACATAAGCATAAATTTTGTATTTATAAAATTCTCATTAACTAGTACATTTATAATTGTTATTGACGGGATTTCATCTTTTGAAAGTATTGTATAATGACTTTTTTTTTTTGGATAAGGTAAGTATGTATAAAAGACCAAAAAATGTATAAATACGAGGGGCATACCCCAAGAGGATGATTGATAACTCTCAGTCAAAAGCCCATGGGAAAACCCACAAAGTCACAAACAGCATAAAGAGAGCACGCAGGCTCCCCACAAAGCAAGAAGATGCCATAAAAAACAAAGCCACAAACTGGCATAAAAGAGCACGCAGGCTCACCACAAACACAAAGCCACAAACCGGCACAAAAGAGCACGCAGGCTCCTTACAACTAAACTATCAAATACATCAATACTATCATTCAACCATTGATCACTTATTCTATTTCGCAAGCGATTCATCACAAAATTCATTGTTGAAAATACTCTCTCTACACTAGCAGTGACAACGGGTAGAATCAATGCTAATTTTATTAACAAATAAACTAATGGAAACACTCTATCCTTCTTAGTTTCAACCATCATTTTTGCCGGATCTCCAATCCCTTTCAATCCAATAAATTTGATATTAGAGTGCATATCCAAAATGTAAACATCAAGTTGAGAGTCAAGTGTCATGAGTTCTAAGTAAGAAAAATCATCAGGATAAAGTTCGGCAAGACGTATCAATTTCTGTTTATCAAAAGCAACAAACGATTCATTTGGACATAAACATGCCAAACAAATAAGCAATTCAGTGTTTACCTCATTGAGACGATTATTCAACTCTTCAAGCTGCATATCTAGGACATTATAAAGTAACTCAATGCAGCAAGATGCACGTTTGTGATACCTTGAGCCTTACGTTGTGATCGCCCTTGAATAAAAAACTTGTCATCCATATTAGGAACATCAATATCATGATTGGCACAAAAAGAATAAACTTTGCTTAATAAAGTCTCCCATCCATTATCCCTCATCAATTGTAAAGCTTGCTTACATGCTTCAACCAAATTCATAGCATTTACAATATCTTGATCTTTTTTTTGTAGTGCTTGAGAAAGTTCATTTGTAAAGCCAAATATACCTTTCATCAAAAATAAACTAAACACAAAGTCAAATGATTCCATGAATTTAAATATGTTTTTTTGCATGAAATCTTTGCTCAGAGTATGACCCATCTTTTGCCACAATTTCAAGAACATCGATAATGGATAAAAACATCAAGATTATGCTCATTAACGTACCATAGTGCGAGCCCCAACGTGTATCACTAGCACGTTGAATAATAGCCTTTTGATTGAGACTTTTTCCACTTGAAAGTTCACCATTAGAAAGAGCTTCAATAACTTTACAGGCTTGCTTATCTCTAAGAAGATCGCAACGCTTTGACGAAGCACTGACAATATTAACCAAAATCGCCACGATATTAAAAAGATCATTAACATCATCATGGTTTTTTTGTTAAAGCCACAAGAGCCAACTGGAGTTGATGGGCAAAACAATGAATATAATAAGCACATCCATTCTCTTTCAAAACCAATGTCTTCAAACCATTAAATTCTGCTTGCATATTACTAGCTCCATCATAACCTTGTCCTCGCAGTCTAAAAAAACTCAACCCATGCCTTGAAAAGAAATTATCTAGTGTTGCCTTGAGTGAGAGAGTTGTGGTACTAGTAACGTGTTCAACACCTAGAAAACACTCCACAACAAGTCCATTCTTGTTAACATAACGTAAGACAATAGCCATTTGTTCATTCCTAGAGATATCACGAGATTCATCAATCATCATAGCGAATAATGAATCTGCTAAATCTCTAATGATAGCACTTACAATGTCATTTTGAATCTCAGGTGATGTCAATTTGAGATTATCAAGAGCATTGTTCAAAGCAACAACATTGTAATCTTCATTATGATTAGCAAGAAATTGTAGAAGCTCGAGAAAATTCCCTTGGTTGTTTGAATCATAGGATTCATCATGACCACGAAATGTAAGTCCTTGCCTTAGAAGAAAACGAATACAGTCAACTGTAGCATTTAAACGAGTTCGATACTCCATTCATGCTTGAGAAGAATGTCGATCAAAAATGTCTAAATATGTTGGTCTTGATTCAATAATGTTTCACACATTCTTCGAGCTTGGTTATGAGCACTATTAGAACCTCCAACATGAATATTCAATTTTTCTTTCTTTTTCCAATTTGAAAACCCTTGACCAACAAAGCGATCACCATCCCCTTTATCACCATCTGGCTTAAAAAGGTAGCAATAAAGACAAAACGTAGCATCTTTGGCTGTATTATATTCCAATCATTGTTCAAATTCACCAGACCAAGAAACAACAAAACGTCTTGAAAATCCACCAAAATACCTAGAAGGAAACTCATGACCCTTAGGTTGACAAGGACCCCTTTCAAAATATATTCTTCGAATTTGATCTTGAATATTAGGATCATAATCTGAAATTCGGGGTCTTAAGCTTGGATCTGTAGGAAGATCTCGCAAATCAACATCCACATTTTTACTTGAATCACCAATATTTTCCTTTTGTTCAAATGATGAGATTATTGTTGACTTTCTTTTGAAATATCTCTCCATACTATTTCAAAACAATAATATATTATTACTTGATAGAGAAAAATACAACAAAATAAGCTACGTACTCAATAAAACCAAACAATAATAATAATCTATGTATACAATAATAATTATTAAGATAAGTGGAATTACAACTACTACAAAAATTTATAAAGCTAATAAGTTAAAGTATTCTAACAATACATACACATCACAACTCACTAGTATATCTCTTTCTTTTTCTAATTTGTAAGTACTTTAACAAAAATTAAATTAAAGTAATAGAAATTGAATTGAAATAGATCTTAATGCAATATTTTTTTTAAATATATCTTACATTATATACAGTGGCTAAAATTCAATTGATATGTGTAAAAAATCTATTCAAATAACCAAACACTTGTACAATTAAATCCATTTTTTCATAACACTTGTAAAACAATTAAAATTAACTCTCATTTGAATCAAACGCTTTTTTATAACAAATATAAAAATGGGTAAAATAATGTGGTCCCAAGAATGAAGAACCCATCTTCTCCATAAAAAAAACAATACAAAATTGCTATNGTAATCTTCATTATGATTAGCAAGAAATTGTAGAAGCTCGAGAAAATTCCCTTGGTTGCTTGAATCATAGGATTCATCATGACCACGAAATGCAAATCCTTGCCTTAGAAGAAAACGAATACAGTAAACTGTAGCATTTAAACGAGTTCGATACTCTGTTCGTGCTTGAGAAGAATGTCGATAAAAAAATGTTTGAATATGTTGGTCTTGATTCAATAATGTTTCACACATTCTTCGAGCTTGGTTATAAGCACTATTAGAACCTTCAACATGAATATTCAATTTTTCTTTCTTTTTCTAATTTGAAAACCCTTGACTAACAAAGCGATCACCACCCCCTTTATCACCATCTGGCTTAAAAAGATAGCAACAAAGACAAAACGCAGCATTTTTGGTTATACTATATTCCAACCATTGTTCAAATTCACTAAACCAAGAAACAACAAAACGTCTTGAAAATCCACCAAAATACCTAGAAGGAAACTCATCGCCCTTAGGTTGACAAGGACCCATTTCCAAATATATTCTTTGAATTTGATCTTAAATATTAGGATCATAATCTGAAATTCGAGGTCTTAAGCCTGGATCTGTAGGAAGATCTCGCAAATCAACATCCACATTTTTACTTGAATCACCAATATTTTCCTCTTGTTCAAATGATAAGATCATTGTTGACTTTATTTTGAAATACCTCTCCATACTATTTCAAAACAATAATACATTATTACTTGATAGAGAAAAATGCAATAAAATAAGCTATGTACTCAGTAAAACCTAATAATAACAATAATCTATGTATACAATAATAATTATTAAGATAAGTGAAATTACAACTACTATAAAAATTGATAAAGCTAATAAGTTAACGTATTCTAACAATTCATACACATCACAACTCACAAGTATATCTCTTTCTTTTTCTAATTTGTAAGTACTTTAACAAAAATTAAATTAAAGTAATAGAAATGAATTGAAATAGATCTTAATGCAATAATTTTTTTAAATATATCTTACATTATATACATTGGCTAAAATTCAATTGATATATGTAAAAAATCTATTGAAGAAAAAAGGGACTTGTTGGCTTGATAGGAGGAGAAAATTACGTTTGTGTGGATAAAGCCTTAAAGGAAAAGAATTGACTTTATAGGTTATTGAAGAGGAAGAAGACGTTTGAGGGAGGGAGAATGATGGGTTACTTTTAGCAGGAGAAGGAAGGGTTTGCTTGTAGTTTCACAGCCCCTAAAACAAAAAAGTGTAATTTATTGGGTATAAATATATAATGCAACTCTTTGGTATTTTAATTTTATATAGGGGTTAATTTGTAAAAACATAGCAAAAAATTTTAAAAGTCAAGGATGGTCAACTGACCCTCCTTGATACCCCCTACCCGAGTAAAACCCATTATTGAACAAACAAACCTATTATAAATTGATTAATTACAAGTTATCATATTGTGATTATGAAAAAAAATGTATGAAATTGGATTGTAAATATAATATTGCTCTCAAACTCTATAATTTAGGATAATAATCCTCATTATAGTAATATCTTGCATACTTAACGTTAAAACAATTGGTCAATCCGTAAATGTAGTGGCATGTCTTCTTCCTCATATTGATATCTTCTGTTCACTAGACCTTGCACTCACGTCACGCAATGAAAATCATATCTTCAAACTTAACAACTGGGAGGAATGACTGGTTATTGCTTTTCTGTCATCTCTATCAACTTGACTTTCTTCTCCAATAATTATTCCCCAAGTCCTCGTAACCGTTTCTCACGCTTCTCACTCACCATCACCAACCACTCTTCTTCACATCATTTTTCTGCTTCTCAGCAACAGTGAACTTATATGGTCAAATGCACAAATAGATTAGAAATTTCAAATTCTATCTGATCTGAAAATTCAAGAAAATCGTTTTATTCATTTTGGTGAGACACTTAATTAATAAAAAAGAAGTAGATTAACGTTAAAAAAAAGTTAAACTATACAGTACAAAACATCAAAACAGTCACGAAAACTGAAAAGGCCTTTAACTGTTTGAAAACTCGTTTATGTTACCATTCAAAAAACAAAAAGCACCGTTAGGTACAGGTGCACCTCACGCAAATTTATTTATATTTCAAGAGTCATCGTCACTTATGTTGACTTTGACAGAGTGTTTATCATAACGTTAAAACATGATTCACATCAAACCGTGTCTCATTAAAAAATTTAATTCCGATTAAAATAATACTAAACCACCAATCATCTTTTCCAACCTTAACGTAACAGTTTATAATTTATCAGTTTATAACGGGTCTTACATAGATCCCACTAATTAATTAAGAACTCACTAATTACGAGTTGTCACATGAAGGTTGTGAGAGAAAACTTGTGAGAAAGAGTTATTGCTGTGATATTACTCTTAAGTTTATGGATTAATATTATTTTATATGAATATCCAACCTTTTTTACAGCTAATAATTACATTACATTATCTTATCTTTTATATATATATATATAGTTATGAATTATTATTTATTTATTTTTGATAATCAGGATATTCGGACAAGCTTGTATACACTTCAACTAATTCTTGTGATCTATTAAATACCATACAAACCCAAAAGATTAAATAAATCACTATGTTATTATGGTAGGTGACTTTAAGATTTGAAAAATTTAAGAAAAATAGCAAACCTTTTTAATCGCAGACTCGATCTGTGAAGGTAGATTTGAAAAATTTAAGAAAAATAGCAAACCTTTTTAATCGCAGACTCGATCTGTGAAGGTTAAGTAATAAATTGCTGTTTATGATCAAGTATAACAACATTCATATAAATACAAAATGATCCACCAAATTTTGCCTAATAATCGAAACAAATAATAATATTCAAACATATAAATCTTATCCACACTTCTAAACTTTAAATATATTGGACCATACACTCAATACTTTACCAAAAATCTCGTAATTTAATCCAAGAAATCCTTCTTAGGCATAAAGCTGTGGTCGTTGACAATTTTGAACAAATGTCAACCATCGATCAGGGGCGGCTCTCATATCAGCCCTCCGATCTCTTCTTCCAAATAAAAACGCGTCCCTCTGTCTTCTCGCGCGCGTTTTCCTTCTACCTTCCTCGCATTTACTTCGAAGCCAATAATTTATTTATTTATTCAATTATTCATTTTCTGTATATTTAGATACACATATAAATCAACACATAAACCCTTACGCTTCACCAACTGATCCTTGAATTTTTAGGGAAGAGAGAAACGAAAACAGGGTAGAAATGGCTGATATGACTCAGGTTAACGGCGGAGGTCAAACATCAGATTTCCCGGCCGTCCAGACGCACGGCGGTCAATTCATACAGTACAATATATTCGGGAACTTGTTTGAAATCACGGCCAAGTATCGCCCTCCGATCACGCCAATTGGTCGTGGCGCATACGGCATCGTTTGGTACTTAATTCAATTTATTTTTTATTTTTATTTTTGTATGAGATGTTCTTAAAGCGTTCCGGTTTTCTAATTTAAAATTTAATTTATTTTAATTTTGAAGCTCGGTGCTGAATTCGGAGACGAATGAAATGATTGCGATGAAGAAAATAGCGAACGCGTTTGATAACCACATGGATGCAAAGCGTACGCTTCGTGAGATTAAGCTTTTACGTCATTTGAATCATGAAAACGTGAGTAATTTTTTTCGATTCTGTTGAACTGATTGTCGTTTAATTTGTTTGTTTAATTTAGTGTAATTACTTGTATAATCTCATCATCATTTACAGTTTATGAGAAAGTTGTTAGGAGATCTTAAGAAACTGAAATTTAGTTACGTACATGGAATTTTTCTTTTCCAAAAAGCCTTCAACTGCTCTTTCTTTTTTCTTTCTTTAATTTCTTTTATTCTAAAAAGTGAAACAATTACTCACTGTAAATATAAAAAGCTTGAATATTTCAAAGAACTTTTGGCTTTATTTGAAGTACTAAAGTATTTTTTATTTTCTTCTAAGCGTCCTGAGAGTAAGGATGCAAAATAATTTGATTGGTGAATTTTATTTCTTTTAAGAGTAATTATTACAGTTATAGGACTAATAATAATTTGAATTTCTTAGTTTGAATAATCTTAACGACCCATCTAACTTGATTTTTGATCTTTTTGGAGATGACTGAGAAAAAAATTTTTTTAGCTGATTTATATGGGTAGAAAAACCTCATTCTTTTTCTTGAATCTTATTTGATTTTGCCTATATTTCTGGTTAGAAAAAAAAAAAAAAAATTTATCTGGGGAGTAGTAGCTAAAAGCTATTAAAGGTAATTAGGATTCCTAATATTTATCTTGAAGTTGTTTTGGTACTTCTATAAAGCTGAAACTTAGTGCTAGAATGTTGAATTATATACTATTTGATAAGTTATGTAAATGCATCTTGAAGCTAATTTGATAATTTGTGTTCGATTCTAACTTGTAGAACTTTATGCGTCTAATTTTAAACAGGTCATAGCAATAAGAGATGTGGTTCCTCCACCTGTACGGAGAGAATTCTCTGACGTCTATATTGCCACAGAACTCATGGATACTGACCTTCACCAAATAACTCGCTCCAATCAAGCTTTATCTGAGGAGCATTGTCAGGTGTGTTAATTCGTTCTTTTGAGTTTTTGAAGCCTACAAATTGCTCAATTGTCTGATTTATGAGATTGACATTTCCTTTTTATCTATACTTTACAGTACTTCTTGTATCAGATTCTTCGAGGACTTAAGTATATACACTCAGCTAATGTCATCCATCGCGATTTGAAGCCCAGCAATCTTTTGCTGAATGCAAATTGTGATTTGAAAATTTGTGATTTTGGTCTTGCTCGGCCAACTTCGGAGAGTGAGTTTATGACAGAATATGTTGTCACAAGATGGTACAGAGCTCCCGAGCTATTGCTAAACTCTTCAGATTACACTGCCGCAATTGATGTATGGTCTGTGGGTTGTATATTTATGGAGCTTATGAACAGAAAACCTCTGTTTCCAGGCAAAGATCATGTGCATCAGATGCGCTTGTTAACAGAGGTAACTTGAAATTAAGCAATGGGAGCTAGCTTTTTAAGAATTAAGCAAGCAGATTTAGTGATTTCTAATTTGGAATGTCTTTATGTTAAGGCTTTTAAAATTTAAAGTTAGAATAATAACCTACTTGTTTATAAATTTTTATTTATTCTTGGTGCAAATTGATGACATAATATTAGAACCAGTACAAGAGATTTTTAGGATTCTCAAGTTGCCAAGTTTACCTCTTAAAGTTTTGAAGTTGGAGGCTAATAGGGAGATTGACATTCGTAAAACCCTTTGTTATTTTGGCTTCTCGTCTTCATATTCTGGCCTTGTATTCAACTACTGAAGTTGATTCAATATTATATGACTGGATGCATGATAATAATTGTGATGTAAATTCCAAAATTTTGCAATGTCTAATATAGGATTTAATTTTGAATTTATAGGATTAAATTTTGAATTTATGTCCTGAATGCTTTTCACTAGCAGAATGCTTATGCATGATTTTATGCTTTATAGCTTCTTGGCACACCAATGGAGTCTGATCTGGGGTTTGTCAGAAATGAGGATGCTAAAAGATATATCCAGCAACTTCAACAACATCCTCACCAGCCATTAGCCCAAATTTTTCCACATGTTCATCCATTGGCTATGGATCTTGTAGATAGAATGTTGACATTTGATCCTGCAAAAAGAATTACTGGTAAGTCTATGTTCTAAATCAGCTATTTTGAAGCTTTTGTGGACATGATCAGGATTATTCAACCATGAATGTCTTATTTCCTGTAATTGCCATAAAATTAAAAGCTTCACTGTATTATGGATTTTAATATGATTAAAACTTATTTCTAGACCAAATTAGGCAATGAAGGGAACTCTTTATGTAGATATATAGTGTCCTTTTTTTGACATGCTCTTTCTATAGCTATAGATTATCTTGTGCACAATGAATATGAACATGTTTGTAGAATTTATTGTCATGTAATGAATCCAAAATAACACAGAAGTGTTAAGACTTCGTGGGTCATTGTTTAGTGGATTGCCATAAGAAACTTCCTTTATGTTTTTCAACATTAGTCTTCTTGTAAAGAGATAAAGATTGGACAAAATATTAGGTTGGCTCTCTCCAAGGTTTCATCTGTGAACTTTCATTGGACTTACATTTATATAAGTTGAACTAGAATTAATGTCCAATTTATCATTGACGTCCATATCCTTTGTTTCACTCTAATGCAAATTTGTGTTGGTGCAGTTGAAGAAGCATTAGCCCATCCTTATCTTGCAAGATTACATGACATAGCAGACGAACCTGTCTGCCCAGAACCATTTTCCTTTGATTTTGAGCAACAATCCTTGGGGGAAGAGCAAATGAAGGATCTGGTCTATAAGGAAGCCTTAGCACTCAATCCAGAGTATGCTTAATAAGAAAATAGCTTTTATGCTCAGTTTTAATACGTTTAATTGCTTTGTAACTATCCGTTTGATTGCCGTTTGGCGAAAAGATGACTTTAAACAAGAGATCAGAAAACCATATCCAACAACAGTATGTTGGCTTGTAGAGATAAACCGTTTCTGGTTCCAGGGCTGGCCAGCTGTTTTATAAATCATGAGGTCAGTCCCCTTGACAGCTCCCTTAGCTGCCCTTTACCTTAATCTATTACAGAGGGTTGTTTTTTTTTTTTTTTGTTAAATCTCCTCTACTATGTATTTTCAGCTCTGTATTTGTAATTTGAATTTTTCTTCATGTACTGTAGATTGAATTAAACCCAGTGTAACTCTGTTGTAAAATCATCAATAAGATTTAATTGAATTTTTTTTTACTGAATTAAATTTCCAGCTGCTTATGTATTCAGAACCTTATGATTTAGCACTCTGGGAGGCCAATTAATTTTAACAAAATTCGGTAAACTATTTGTATAAATTAAAAAAAAAAAAAAAAAAAGTGAACAAGAGGCCAGTACCAAGAAATGCAAATAGATGAATTTTACTTGAACCCATCTCCTGTGGCACAAAATGTGTTTTCGCATTTAAATTATTTCCAATGTCTGCCCTCCCTGTAAGTAGCTCATTGCTCTACCGCCTCTACATTCTTAGTTAAAACAGTACGTTTTATCAGAAAAAATCAATCCCATCAAAATACTATTCTACCACTTATTGATTTGCAACTTGAATTGAAAAAAATAATGTTCACTTAAAGGAACTCTAATTTATCATGTCTAGGCTTCGCTTAGTTTCTACAACTTGCTTTAGATAATGGTAAAACCAAAACAATCAGTTTTCTGATTTCCATCTAGCTCTGTTTTTAGTAATTTCATTTCTTTATTTTCAGCAACTTTCGTTCACAGAGAGCCAGAACGGCTATCCTCTCCAGTGTCAACATTTCGATATTTGTACAACCTTGAGCAAACTGAATAATAACCAAAGTTTAGCAACCCAATTAAAAATAAACTCCAATACACAAAATCTAACCTCCCAGTATTTATATTATCTAGTAACCAAGGTGTGGCCCTCCGGACTACATCTATCAAAGCAGTGCTCAAATAGTAACTAGCTCCGATAACCAAAGCAATCATTGCAGTTGCTGTGCTTTTCATCGATGCAGGAAATTCTTGATAATACAATCTAACTTGTCCTGGAAAATGAAATGCTTCTCCAATGCCAATCAATATTAGTTGCGGAAATAGCCAATAGGCCATCATTGGCACCATGGAACCATTTGGTTGGTCTTCAAGGTTGTGAGTATGAACTATTTTAAGCCTCTTGGACTCAACTAGTGCTGCTACAACCATGGCAATCACGTTGAACACGTGGCCTAGTCCTGTTTGTTGAAGTGGAGTTGGTGATTGTCGAGTCAGCTAAGGAAGAAGCAAACGATCAATTAAAGTGAGAAAAATTGATGTTGATATAAAGACTATGACTACAAAAGATCCAGCTGGGATTTTGAAATGTGAACTTAAATGACTGTCCATGGTTAGAGCTTGTAGAATTTCCATGCTAAGTTGAATTCCTATTGGGGTGCTTAAGAATATGACGGATGACCATAGTGGGAATATTTTTATTAGAGTTTTGAAATCTTCTACTTGTTGAACTGTGCATAGCCTCCATGGCTTTGCTATTGAGCCATCTGCTCCAATATCTCCTTCAGTTTTTATTGCTGCGCGGTTCAGAATCCTGAAATACAATAAATGTTATATAACATTGGATATATCACGTAATCTGTATATTAATAATAATTATGTTTTTTATAATATAATTATTATTAATATACATAAGTAGTTAGTTTGTACCTGAAGTTAATTATGGTTAGGTGTTACAATTAAGATATTGGTCCTTCCATTTTGGCCTTGGTAATAATCCTCACGTCTGGACGAGAGTTCTGCTTTTCTTTTTCTTACAGAAGCAACAACAACACGAAGTAAACTCATAAATGGGCTCCCTTGTGGCTTGTCACACCAATAGAGACATTTACCCAACAAGAAAATAACAAGTCCAACTAAATTAGCAGCAACAGAAATCCCAAATCCCAATTTCCAACTAATATTATCCTCCATATACACAATAGCTGTGGCACCAATTACAGAGGAAACGTATATAGCAAAGAAAGTACCAGTTGAAGAAAGTCACACGATGTTGAGGTTTATCAAATTGGTTGGCTCCCATTGTAGCTATTTGTTGGTGCATGGCAAGAGAGAAATTTAAGACCTGTAATGAAGGGGAAGGTGACCCAACCTCCACGTCTGCCATGACTATAGACAACTGAATCCATAGCTTGTTTCTCAACCCAAATATTAAGATCGTTTAATTATAAGTTACTATCATGTATATATAGAATTTTTTCGTTGTGCTTGTCAATTGTCATCGCACTAATCCACTAAACTTGTTTATTTTCTTTTAAAAAGGGTGGCATTAATCAAAAGAAGAAAAGCAAGAAAGAACCCAAGTTAAAATGTTACAACGCTACAAAAATGGGACGCATGGCTCATGGCATTTAAAATGGTGGCACTGAAAAGGTGTGTGTGTGGCTGTTGCAAAGTTGGGGAATGGTTTTGACAGAACTTAGTTCCAAGTGCACAATTTTTTTTTATTGGTAACCCGGGTGTTTGGGCCAGCTTGCATGCACCTCAACTAATCTTCAGGATCCATTGAACACCATACAAACCAAAAGGACCAGGTAAACTACAATGTTATTATGGGCCACTCAAAGGACAAAGTAAGTCACTTTGTGATAGGTGGTCGTCAGGTTTGAACTCAAAGAATAGAGCAAACTTTCTTGATTGTCAGGTCAACCCCTTGAGGTTTCAAGTGCATAATACCTATAACGAATTCTAGTTCATCGAGTTAAGCTCGCTATAATGAATGTAAGTTTGTAAAATGAAGTTGTTACTCTTGTTTTTATGATTTTAACCCTCAATCACTATATAAGTATAGTTTTAAATGAGGCAAGTGTGACAGTTAAAAGGATAAAATAGTATCCGTTTCCACAGGAAAAATTAACGATCCAGATTTTCTCCATTTTGAAAAATATGATTAACTTTATTCCACTTGGTAAAAGGCTAGGCAATGCCAAAAATTTAACCACCCCACCATTATATAACTCCAAAACGCCTCCCATTGTCCATAAAAATATGCCAACAAGTGCGGAAGAGGAGACTGAGGTCATTCTGATTTCGATAGCCTTTTAAAGTCAATACATATAGTTGAATTGAAGTAATTTGGCTGAATTCTTCCACTAATGGGGATATCCATGGCAACAATTCGACTACTCCTTATCACTATATGACCAGAGTCTATCCATTAATAATATATTTACAATCTATTCAAAATATCATAACTCTATTTAATAGGATTTGATCTTTTAGATACGACTTAAGAGTGATACTATATATATACACATCAGTGGTGGACTCAGGATTCTTGCTAGGGGGGCTTCTACGGTTCCGTCATTGTTTGTCAAATAACTAGTGAAAACTTAAAAAAAATCATCAAACCTTAAGCAAAAGAAATAATACAATATCAATAATCTGAAAGAAAATAATGCAATAACACAATATTTTACTACTTGAATAAATCTATGAGAAACAAAACCTTGAGCAAATTATATTGAAAATAACATCAAATTCACGAGGAAATATAAGAAAATTTTTACGTGGAAAAATCTCTTCAATTAAAGAGAGCAAAAGACCACGAGAATCTAACGATCCACTTAAATTCAATATAATTAAAAGAGTTTACAACAATCACAATCCGCAAAAATGTTCTGCACAAATTTCTTATTTCTCCTTTTTTTTTTTTTTTTTGTTGGCTTTCAGATATTATAATATAAATTTTCATGACTTTGATTAGGCCTAACCTAAGCTAAAGTCAATCAAAACTTAAATTAAGTCAATGTTGCCTTGACTTTTAATATGAATTAATAAAAAAAAGGGAAAATTTTCTTAGTATAAACATAGATAATAACTCAAACTTCTTAAATAATTTTGAGCAGTTAGACCGTGACGTTTGAAATATAGAAAATTGATAGGTGAAAGATGAAGAATAATACTTAGTAAAATATAGTTAAGGTTTAATTTGGGGAAATATGAACATTCTTAAACACAAAACACAAAATAAACTCACAAGATCCATATATTTTTCCATCAAATTAGAATACAAAACCTTCAAAAAATAAGCATGATTTAACTCTAAAATAAACTAAAATGAAATGAACAATACACATACCTAAACTGATAAAACAGAAAACGAAGCTAATTGAGACACCTTGATTAGTGAAAGCTTCAACAATTTCAGTCTTTAAAAGTTTTAAGAACGAATAACATAGAGAAAGTGAAAGAGAGAATGAGAGAGTAAAGAATTTAAGAATAAAATCATAAAAAATAGGTGGACGCAGACAAGAAGTGGAGAGAGTTTTAAACTTTTAATATGATGTAGGCGTTTTTTATGGCCTATATAAACAATTTTTTTTTTTTTTTTTTTCAAATGTGAGGATAGGGCTGGGCGTATAAAAATATGTAGTAGCCCAATTCCGTACGTGTTCTGTAATTTGAAGTAAAACCTACCCATAGATTTCTGGTGGTGGTGGTGGTGGTGGCCCTCTAGGGATAAAGCGTCTTATTCTTACATCTTTTCCATGGATATTGGACTGAACTATCTCTGTCTCTCCAAGAATCCTTTTAATATATTGAGGTGAAGTTACCACCACGCGAGCAAACAATTCACTCATATATATATTCTCAATACAGTCTCCTCCATATCTCCTGCATTAAATCAAACCCAAACCCCCATTGTTAATAATCATAACATAACCCACATCACTAATTTTAATTAATCATTGAGACATGGAAATTACCTGGTGAAAAACTCTTCAAGTTCTTGATGTGTAATGGGATGACCCTTAGAGAAAGTTACAAAAAGAGTTTTATTATCAAAATTGTGACTGCCATTATTAGCTTGTTGATCTTGCCTAGGTTGGCTTTCATTAACCACCGAGTGTGAATGATTTCCATTATCTTCCCATAATTGATCAAACACCATCTGGGGCAAATAATTTGACCCAGTATTATCTTGCACTCGAACAATTTCACCATTCGGGATTGCCCCATTAACCCCATTACCTGAACTTCTTGTTCCTGGAGTTATGTCATCAAAAATCCTCTTGCACACGTTCCACTTAAACACCTTCATGTGTCTTTCTGCATGCACTTTGTTTGCATAAACAACTCCAAAAGAGAGAGTCTTCCCAGCAAGACTACAAATCTGTGGAAGCAATTTCTCATCATCAACCGAAAAAGACTCTCTCTTTAAAAAATCCAGGCACGCTTCAGACTCCTGTGATAATTCAAGAAATAATGGAGGAGGCAAGTCTAGTGAATTTTTGACAAAGTTAACGTAACCAATACGTTCAAGCCAATTCCAGAAGGCCACAATTTCGGAGCCGATTTTAGGAGACAAATGCAAGTCGAACACTAAACAAGCATACGCTAGGCGGTCAATATTGTGAAAAATTTTAAGTTCTTCTTGAAGATTGCGAGCCATTCTTGATGTTTGATTTGATTGGAAGAGCGGGAAAGAAATCAAGAGAGTAGAGATAAAATCAAGAGAGTGATTTCAATGGTATTTTAATTTTGGAGAGTAAGTGGTGGGTATTTATAGAGTTAGGTTAAATAAGTCCGAATGAAGCAAGGACTTTAATTTCTTGTTGGTGTTTATTGTTTTCCTGATTGAGACTGGAATATTGTGAAAGAGATCAAATTTTCCTAATTTGTATTTGTATTAAACACTTCTTCATTTTTTAATGAATAATCCATCTTTTTCCTATTTATTGATTTTATAAATTTTAAAATTATAATCCTAAATTTAAAGGAGAGATTTTTTTTTTCTTTTTTATAAAACATATTACAATACAACCAACCAATGAAAAGATGCCACATTTACTCTGTCATTGGTTTGTTGCATTTCATCTTATATGCAAGATTTTTTTTTCTTTTTAGAGTTACAAATTGAGTTGCCCAAGTATTCATTGTACTGGCAATATTAGTCTCAATCTCCACCCTTGAATCACCTCCATATCCTATATCCTATATTTATGGAATTATCATGAGCCGAAATAAAAATGAATAAAGATTGACTCACAACTCAATTTTACAAACTTTTTCTAACAACCTCGACGTGGTAGCTCGCAAATGGGCAAGCGAGACCCATTTGCAAGCTGCCACATCAAGATTGTGAGATTGGATTGTAAGTATAATAGTATTCAATAAAAATATGGTTTAATCTTTGATATGTCTTAAACATATACTAGATATTTTTTGGATTTTTGGGTAGTTGGCATTTAAAATAAGATTTTTTTTTTCAATTTTTGCTAATTTATTGGATTAACCAGTGTTCTGAAAACTGGACCAGACAGCCCGGTCAGACCGGTTCGATCGGCAACCGGCGACAAATCCGGTCCGGTATATATAAAAAACCGCTATTTGAAGTTAAACCGGATTGGATTGCGGTTGGACCGTCGGAATAGTGCCAAATCGAGGTCCAATCACCGTCGGATTCCGGCATCTTTCGACGGAGAAAACGCCCTCATTCGACGGACGACATCTCCATGACCAAACCCATCCATTTTCAGTTGCCATCGTCCAGCCTTCGTCGATCGCCGTCCACCTAAAGTTTACGACTTTAAGCGATGTCAGATTTCTTTCGCTGATTCCGGCGAGTTCTGACGCCGATGAAACTCCGTTGCACCACCATCAGAGTCGCCGGCACCTACAGATCAAAAGCCCCAAGATTCCAGCTTCGATTGGCCGTCGATCGTCGCTGCCGCCACAATCACCAGAATCTTCGCGTGACATGGGTGTTTTAGATAGATTTCAAACCTTAAGGGAGTATTATAGGGGTGTTTTTGATGAATTTCAAACCTTTAGGGACTAAAAATAATTTTATAAATTACGGTCCAACTGATCGATCCAACCGAAAATCGGACCCTTGAACGAGTCATTGTCTGGTCCGATTTTCAGAACATTGGGATTAACGACTATTCGATCAATTTATTTGCAATAAAAAATGGTGATCAAATTCATCAATTGGATTAAACATATATAATTACATTAATGTTTGATCATCTAGAAAAATCTAAAAACATTGATCAATTACTTTAAGTAACATTAAAATTAAACATTGGTATGTAAAATCTCATACAGAATCTTAGACACTGTCATTAACATTTAAATGCAACTCTTATTACGAACAAATCTACACTTTTGTCTCCTCTGTGCGACCATGCAATTATTTAATCCTATACTAATACATACAAGTTTGTACATACGTTTCTTGTTATGTATTCTTTTTTAATTTGACTTGAGTTATATCCATACTCGTCAATCAAACACTTCCAACAGACATTCAATTCTTGATAAACTAGATATACTCTACATTTCGCAGCAATGTTTTAATAACCAACCTGGAGTGAAACCCGACAAAGTTGTCAGGTCCTAGGTTGACCGGTTTAACCGATCGGTCAAACCAGGTGACAATTTTTAAAATCTAGCAAATACACACCTAAACATTTGTTAAGTCCCTACAGGTTTGGAATTTAGCAAACACACCCCAAATACAAATTGACAGTAGATTGGTTGGCGACGACGACACACCAAATGCAATCCTAATCATCTCTTGAACCCATTCCCCAGAAAATCTACCCAATATCTGACTGAAATCGGTTCGATTTCTGCCAGATCTCACCAACACCAATGTTGACCTTCTAGGCCAGATCTCACTGATGCTGATGTCGACAACCCTCCCCATCACCACAAAAATACTCCCCTTAGCCTCCTGACCAAAACCCACCTCACCCTACCCTTGTTAGCCTCGTCGATCACCGACAAAAGCTGGCTATTGCTACCGCCTATTTTTTTTTGATTTCTGATCGATTCACTTATCAAAAATCAACTTTGTCACCACCATTGCACTCACCAACACCTTCTCTTCAATAGCCCTAACATCCTGACCTTTAATTGTTCGCCGATCATCATCCTAATTTCTAGGGTTTTTAGTGAATAGTAAAACGGATAATCAAGTTCAAACATTGTTTGGACTTGATTGGCATTTACACCACGTAAATCCTCCAAGAAATTTGGAGAAGATAATCGAAGAAGTTAAATATGAAGTTTTTCCCTATCCAAGCCAAGGTGGAGATTCGTAGAAAAAGTGGCTTAAATAGTGCAAAGGTGAGTTCACATGGTTTTGGTCTATAGCTTATAAATACCATGAACATTTTTGTCTCGCATTCACACATGTTCAAAGACTTGAAATTGAATTTTATTGAGACATTTAATGCCACCGAATTGGAAGCAAAATTTAGCTTCATGTCTCTCAAATAAAGTCAACATTCCCAAGCTAAGATGGCGGCTACAAGTCTTTGTAAATCCCTTATTTGGTCCTGTAAATTTTGACGTGAAATGACTTCCCTCCACTATAAATATGGGTGCATTTTCAGGGGAAGGTCAACACACACACATTCTCAAGCAATACAATCACTAGAGACGAAGAGATTGAGTTAGAGAGATTAGAGTGTGTGAGAGATATTGGGTGTATTTGGGATTTGAGATTGAGAGTTTCACCAAATGTTGTATACTCGATTTTATTAGTGAAATTCTTCTTCTATCTTCGCCTGTGGATGTAGGCTAAATGAAAATCCATGAAGAGGTGGCGGAAAAATGATGGAAAGCATGTGAACAAGACATGCAAGGTAAGATATGGATTATAGGATTCAAAACTTTAAATAAAGCATAAATTAACATTATTGTTGTAAGAATTATAAGCAGAGGAAGTAAAATAGAGACGAGAGAGTTTGAACTGATTGGCTTACTTTTTGTTTGTATTTCATTTCATTGTATTTATAACAGATTACATATAACAAACTACAGAAAATTAAGGAGTTCAAAATACATTTTACAGCTAACTTTATCCTATTGTTTGAATCAAAACAGAATGAGGAAAGTCTGGAGATGGATTGTTTGCTGCACCACTTCTGATCTGATCCGACCCCTTGATTCTCTTAACTGCTCTTCAGCTGCAGCACAATTGCTTGAGTGATCTGAGTTCCTTGATTCTCTCAACTGATCATCAAATGCTCTAATACCCCCCGACAAACTCATGGGAAGTTGGCAAATCATGAGTTTGGTCCTTAAAAATTGGAATTGAGTTGCTGTTTGGCCCTTTGTAAACATGTCGGTTATTTGATCTTTGGTGGAGATATGCTTCACCAAAATATCTTTGTTAACCATTTTTTCTCTAATGAAATGATAGTCAATTTCCACGTGTTTTGTCCGAGCATGAAAGACGGGATTTGAAGCTAAGGCCAATGCTCCTATGCTGTCACACCAGATAATTGGAGGTGATGAAAGATATAACTTGAACTCTTTTATCAACATTCGGATCCAATAAGCTTCAGCTATAGCCAAAGCCATGCTTCGGTATTCCGCTTCTGTGCTTGAACGCGAGACAACTCCTTGTTTCTTGGCACACCAGGATATTAAATTTTTCCCAAGAAAAATACTAAATCCACTTGTGCTTCTTCTGTCATCTGGGTTACCAGCCCAATCCGAGTCACAATAAACATGAATGTCAATTGTTGAAGGTGAATAAAAAAGTCCATAGTCCACTGTTCCTTTTAAATATCGAAGCACCCTTTTTGCCGCTATCCAATGTGAGTCTCTCGGGTTATGCATAAATTGGCACAACTGATTTACTACATATGAAATATCATGATGTGTAATGGTGCAATATTGGAGAGCTCCCACTACATGCCTATATTCCGTTGGATCTGATAGAAGTGTGCCAACATTAGAAGATAATTTCATACCTGAAGTAGTTGGACAAGCTAGTGGCTTTGCTCCTTGCATTTTGATGCTTTCAAGAAGGTCGGATATATATTTAGCTTGCCGAAGATGAAGACCTTCATTGCTACATTTTGCTTCAACGCCAAGGAAATAATTTAGCTGTCAAAGATCTCTAATATGGAAATTTTCCTTCAAGCTATCAATGAAAGATATAATAGCCGAACTGCTTGATCCAGTTATGATAATGTCATCTACGTAGACCAACACAAAAAGTTTGTATGTATTAGTACAAAGAGTAAACAATGAATAATCAACTTTTGATTCCTCAAATCCAAGTTCTAGCAATTGTTCAGAGAGCCTTCGAAACCAAGCTCTTGGGGCTTGTTTAAGGCCATAAAGAGATTTATGTAGTCGACACATGAAATTTGGTTGGTTCTCATCAATGAAGCATTGAGGTTGTTCCATATACACTTCTTCATCAAGAATGTCATGTAAGAATGCATTGGACACATCCAATTATTTGATAGGTCAATTAAATTGAACAACAATAGATAAAACCAATCTAATCGTAGTCAGTTTAACTACTGGAGAGAAGGTATCAAAATAATCAATTCCAGATTTTTGATCAAATCCCTTTGCCACAAGCCTTGCTTTGCAGCGCTCGATGCTACCATCTGGGTGTCTTTTAATTTTGAATACCCA